TATCGATGTCTGTTATAAGTCCATTTGAGTTATCACATCTGCTAGAGCCACTTGCAGCTCTAGATCTGCTCTGGAAGGTGACCTTTGACTCTTGTCAGCGCTTTGACCTTGCTTATCTCTCAGGGGTGACGTGAACAGCCTTCTGGGATGGATGGCTGGGACCAAGCCTTATTTGGTCTCAAGGTAGAGTGGCCTCACAGCAAAACCTGCCTTCAGTCAGGACCAGAAAGGGTTAATCTTAACAAGCCCTGGCTGGAATCTTCTAGGGTGGTTGCACCACTGTAGAGAATTAGACCCTCAGGAAATACTGGTCTTTATTGTGATAGTCAATGGGAGGCTCCCCCAAGGGACTGAAATGGCTGAGAGGTCTACTCACATTTTGGGTCTTTCCTAGTTAGGTTTCCACTGCTGTGATAAACGCCATGACTGATAGCAACTCGGATAGACTGGGGTTTGTTTTCTACTACACTTCACCATCCATCAATGAGGAAAGCTGAGGTTCAAAGCTGGAGGCAGGAACTGAAGCAGAGACCATGGATGAAGGCTGCTTACTGGCTTTGTCTCTCTGCCTTTACCTTCCTTGTACAACAGAACCACCTGTCCCAGGATCACATTATCCACCACAATGAGCCTAGGCTCCCCTGCATGAATTAACAATTAAGAACACACCCTGTAGTCATGTCTGCTGGCCAATCAGGTGAAGGCAACTCTTTGAGGTTCTGTCTCGCCAGGTGTGTCTACTTAAAAACTGAGGCTCTTACTGCAAGGTTTTATTCATTTTTGAGAGATGATTTCTTGAAACCCAAATTGACCTCAAATTCAATATTTAACTGAGGATGGCCTTGAACTTCTGATCTTCCTGTCTCTGCCTCTCAGGTGTTGGAGTTACAGGCATGTGCCACCGAGGCTGGCTAAGAAATTTTTATTCATCTTTCCAGATCCATATTATTCCATAATGTAGTGGATCCCATGGTGCATTTAACTGTCCTTACTTTAATTCTTTCTTTTATTTACGTATCTATTTATTTTGCAATAGGGACATCATATTTGCAGGACCTTTGAAGAACTCAAGTATAGACATGTGCCACCACCCCAGCTTGTGTGTGTTTGTGTGTATGTATGTATGTAACATGTGTGGTCATGTGTGTGTACGTATACTCAATTAGTGCGTGATGTCTTTACCTCCTTCTCCCTTTTCTTCCCTCAATCAATTATTGATTTTGTTTTTTTGTCATTGCTTTGACAGGGTCTCTTTGTAGTCCTGAAACTCCATATATAGACTAATCTTGAACCCACAAAGATCTCTTGCTTCTGAGTGCGGGGATTAAAGGCGTGTGCTGCCATATTCAACTAATCCTTGTTGGGTTTTTTTGTGGAGCCAGGATCTTACTATACAGTCCAGGCAGGCATGGAACTTGGTATGTAACTCAGGCTGGCTTTGAATTTATAATCCTTCTGTCTGCCTCCCAGCTGGTGAGATTTCAGGCATACGGGCATCACACGGGTTCTAGGTCCACTTGTTTATTACTTACGACCATGTCTCATATAACCCAGGCTAGCCTCCAACTGGGAATTGTTGAGCCAAGGTTGGCCTGAGAGTTCTGATCCTTCTCCTTCAACTTAGAAGAATCAGAAGTTCAAGGTCTAAAAGTATAAGGATCATGTCTAAGTGCTGGGATTAAAGCTACGTGTCGCCATGCCCAGCTTGGTCCTGTTTCCTTTTATCATCATTTTATTATGTGCTTATTTGTTTATGAGTGAATATTCGTGGCATGGAGCATATGTGGAAGCCAGAGGACAACCCAAGGGAGTCTGTTCTCACCTCTCACAATGGAGGTCTAGAGGACGGAATTCATCAGGCTTGGTAGCAAGCGCCTACCCCAACTGAGCCCTCAAAGTTTCTGTATAAAGCCGGATGTGGTAGCACATGCGTGCAATCCTACCACTCAAGAGACAATGTGTCGCTATCTTGTATGGTCTAAATTTGGAGCTTTTTTATTTTATTTTATCTCTCTGTGTATTTTTGCTTTTTCAAGACATGGCATCTAAGTAGTGATGGAAGCAGTTAGGACTCACTCTGTAGAGCAGGCTGGCCTTGAACTCACTGAAATCTGCCTGCCTCTGCCTGCCTCCAAAGACCTTGTGCCACCACCGCCGAGTTATCAGTCCAGTTTTAAAACACTTTCTTATTGAGAAGCAACTTGAGACTTTGCAAAGGTTGGAAAGAGGGGCGAGGGAGAAGCCTCGGTCAGTAAAATGCCTGCTGTGTAAGCATGAAGACTGGAGTTCAGATTCCTTGCATCATGTAAAAGCTGGGGACAGTTGGGACAGGCAGATCCCTGAAGCTCCTCCCCAGCAGTCTAGCCAGTCTGTGAGCTCCAGGGTCAGTGAGAGTCCTTGTCTCAAAATGTAAGCTGGGGAGAGAAGAGGAAGACACCCACAAGATTCCCTCACTTTCATACACGCATGACCACAGATGCACACATACATACACACAAGGTAGGCTGCTGCCACATGTCTGAACTCAAAATACTGAATGCAAGGAAATGAATACTGGATGCAAGGAAATCAAAACCAGCCTCATTCCATAGTGAGTTCAAGGCCAGCCTTGACAACATGAAATTCCAAAAAACAAACAAAAAAACAAACAAAAAACCTGAAAGGCAGAAAAAGAAGCCCTGTATGGTTGGCTGTTGGTGGCACATGCCTTTAATCCCAGCACTCGCGAGGCAGAAGACCAACCGGGTCTACAAGAACTAGTGCTAGGACCGCCACCAAAGCTACACAGAAACCTTCTCTCAAAATACCAAGATGCAGAATAAGAATAAGAATAAGAATAAGAATAATAAGAAGGAGACAAAGACGATGAAGAAGAAGCAGCAGCCCTGAATGTACAAAAGTCATTTACATTTCCCTAAACATTTACATTTCTAATCACTTATTTTGTATTCCCTGAAACATTTAAACATGTTATAGACATGGTTCTTCTTGACAGGAATATTGTCTGCAGAGCAGTTTATCAGCCCAATGGGCACAAAGGCCGCTCTTATCCTGTAGTTTCTGCTCTGCTGAGTCTCAAACCCAGGGCTGCAGGCATGCAACACAAGTATTCTGCTGTTGAATTCCACCTCCAGCTTTTGTTTTGAGACGGGCTCTTAGGCTGCCATTGAGTTTGTGATCCTCCTGCTTGGGCTCCACAGAGCTGGGATTATAGGCATTTACACCTGGCTAGTGCTTTTCTATTGCTCTGAGAGTCCAAGGGATCATCAGGAAAGGCTCGAAAAGGTCTTTCTTCCTAGACCTCCTCTCCAAATCACAGAGATCCTCAGCCTCTGCCTCTCGAGTGCTGGGATTAAAGACGTGTATCACCCCCACCCGGCTCTTTCTTTATGTGGAGACAGAAATATCTCACAAATCCTAGACTTGTTGAGCTTGCTAATTAGCCAAGGATAACGTCCAATAAATCTCCCTCCCTCCACTCCCCAGTACAAGGACTAGAGCGCACACCATCTCACTTGGCAAAAATCTCTCTCTCTTTTCAATTTACAGGTGGTAACCGCCTGATTTATTTATTTATTTACTTTGGAGACCGAGTCTCACTATGTAGACCTGGCACTCACAGAGAGCTATCTGCCACTGCCTCCTGAATGCTGGGATTAAAGTGATGCACCCACATGCCCAGCCTTCCCTTTGGATTTTTTTTTTGAGACTTAATTTTGTAGCAAAGGGTTCCTTAGAACTAAAGATTACCCTGGGGCTTGTGGATTAGCCCAGTGGGCATGGTAGTTTGAAAGAGAAATGTCTTCTCTAAATTCAGTTGGTGGTGCAGTTTCGGGAGATTATGGAACTTGTAGCACAAGAGCCTCTTAGGGGAAGTATGTCACTGTGGGTGGGCTTAGAGAACTTAAAGCCTTGCCCTCTCTACTTACAGCTAATTCTCCCTCTCTACTTCCTGTGTGTGATGGAGATGTGATTTCTCAGACAACAGGCCCTGCATCCAAACAACCAAAAGCTAGCTCATTTAACAATGCCATTTTATTTCCAACATAGAAAACATATATTGCCATGATTGGGGAAGAAGCAGGGGTTAGCACCAGTAGAATCAATCAGGGTGGCCTTCTTTTCTCCCTAGTGCAGGGTCTTGGCTTCTAGAGGCATCTACTCCCGTGCTGCAGAGAAGTGAGACATCCAGGTGACCCACAGTGCTAACAAAGCTGGGATCACCTTGTCAGCCCACAAACTGAATTCTACTCAGCAGTAATAAGATTCCCCAGGGCTTGGCTTGCTGGGCTCTGCCAACCATCTAGCATCCAGAGAGGACCACCAAGTGTTCTCAGCAGCAGCGTCCTGTCTCGTTCTCCCAGGTCTGGCCAGCAGGATGCTCCTGCAGAGGAGGTCAGATCTTCTACCTGCTTCTTCAACTAACTTTGTACTGCTTCCTCTTTTACCTTCACCTTGTTTGTTTTTTTTATAGACCAACTTCAGTGGGTAGCCCAGGATTCCTGGGACAGCAAGTTCTGCAGTTGTAGATCAAACTGACGTCACAAAGATCTGCCTGCCTCTGCCTCCCAAGTGCTGGGACTAAAGGTCCACAGCGCCCCAGGCTGTCCTTGTGCTTCCTCACACTATTTTGACTTAAGTGTGTGCAGATGCACTCACACACTATATGCTAACACTGTGTAAGTGTGCAGCGGTGTCCGTAGACACACACACTTGCAAGCTCAAGGGATGTGTGTGTAGCACAGGTGTTCGGTGTCAGATGTCACTTCACGAATGCTGGGCACCTTGTTTTTTAACACAGGCTTTCTCAAGGCCACTGAGGAGGAAATGCATCTGCCTCAAATGGTGGCACACACCCACAATCCTGGCATTCAGGAGTCAGAAGCTGGCAGATCTCTATGAGTTCAAGGCCAGCCTGGTCTAGAGTGGAAGGGCCAAACAGAAAAACCCTGTCCCCAAAAGAAAAAAATCACAACAACAGAACAAAAATGGAGATTCACCTGTCTCCATCTCCAGTTGCTGGGGTGGCCAGCTTCAGCAAGCCTGCCGGGTCTTTTCCTTGGATTCTGCACATGAACACATACCAAACAAGGTAACTAGACACTGTACAGACAGACAGTCACTGTCAGGCTTCTTGTGCTTCTGAATCTCACCCAGGGCGTCGATTTCACACTCTTGCTTAGTGCCAATCATTTCTCATTATAGACAGCGGGGCCAGGAAGAAGCAGCAATGTAGTTTACGAAGTTTCTTCAGGGACAACCCCTGGACAGAACATCTATGACAGCTATTTTGTTCTTTTATTAGGATACTGTAGAAATGGAATGAAGTAAAGAAGGATAGAATCACGTCAGATGGGTACAGAGCAGTGGAAGCGTCCCTCCACCCCAACTCTGAGCAAACCCACTCACCCCAGTTTGTGGCAGGAATTGAAGCAGAGATCCCAGCAAACCAGGCGCATTAAAACGGAACTGTGATGGAGGAAGGTCATCGGCCAATAAAGAAACTGCTTGGCCCTGTGGGTGGAGTAAACAGAACAAAATGCTGGGAGGAAGAGGAAGTGAGGTCAGAGTCTCGACAGCTCTCCTCTCGGGAGCAGACGCCTGAGAGAGATGCCATGCCCCGCTCCCGGGATGAAGCTCCGACCCAGGATGGACATAGGCTAGAATCTTCCTGGTAAGCACACCTTGGGGTGCCATACACAGATGATTAGAAATGGGCTAAATTAATATTTGAGAATTAGCCTAGAAGAGAATGGGCCAAGCAGTGTTTAAATGAATACAGTTTGTGTGTTGTTATTTCGGGCATAAGCTAGCCGGGCAGGCGGCCGGGGTGCTGGGAACAAAGCCCCGCCGCTCTTATTACTACAGAACTGGGCTGGAGAGATGGCTCAGCGGTTCAGAGCATTGCCTGCTCTTCCAAAGGTCCTGAGTTCAATTCCCAGCAACCACATGGTGGCTCACAACCATCTGTAATGAGGTCTGGTGCCCTCTTCTGGCCTGCAGACATACACACAAACAGAATATTGTATACATAATAAATAAAAAAAAACGGAGCTGGTACAGAAGTGCCACAAGGGGGCAGCACAACATCAGAGTTTCTGATGGGTGGCAGGGCCAGCAGCCTTCCTGCTTTTCTTTTTGGCACAGGTGGGGGTCTCTATGCTCCCCAAACCTTCCTGTCAGTGCCTCCCACAGGGCCAGCAGGGAGTACTTACCCAACAGTCCTCAGCGCTGTGCACAAGGATGAACTCAATTGGCTCAGGATAATTCCAGATGTGAGTCGCAGAAAATAACCCTGCACATCTGGAAGCCATATTTTCTTCTCTCTGTCAGAAAGATCTTTTGATTCACTAGGAATACGTGAATGGAATGTCACTGTTTTCTCAGATTGGGGCATTAAGATTTGGGGGTAGGTGCTGTTGGTTTTTCAAAAGGAGTGGCATTCCTCCTAGACTGGCCTCCAACTTTCTGTGTTGGAAGATGGCCTTGACTCTCTGATCCTCTTGTGTCTGCCCCCCAATACCGGCATTTGTGGCATGCTCCACCTGGTTTCATTTTATGCTAAAGAAGCCAGGCCCAGAGCCAGTGTGTATGCTAGGCACACTGAGCATTAGTCCTGTCGTTCACTTTCTGTGTTTTAGAGAGAGAGCCACCAAAGCCTAGACTACTGTGCCTCATGGAGAACAGATTGGCCTTGAATTCATGGCTAGTCACTAGTCTAAACCTCCAGAGTCCTGGGATAATAGGCATACACCTTCACCCTAGCTCTACCATCTAGTTTTAAGACAAATCCACAAACTCCCTAGAACTGTCTAAATGTGAGGGATAGGAGATTGCCCCAAGGGGTGAGGTGACTAAACCTTCAAGGAGTGGGAGTGAGTCTCCATCTTCCTAGTTTCATCAGCCTGAGTTCGGGACACGGGCTGGTTAGGGCTGGTGACTTCCATTTTGCTTCACGCAGGTTCATAGGGAGTTAGTTGCGGGCAACTCGAGGGCTTCTGGTCAGAACATACTTTCAACGCTGCCTGGATACACAGGGGAGAGTCTGGGGACTCTGAGATGATACATTACTGGGACAGCCTCCTCTTCCTCCCTCCCACCCAGAACACAGCTCACTAGCTTCAGAAGAAGAGTGATGTCCAGCTACACCCCTTGTGTGTGCAACTTCTAAAGACTCTCAGTCAGAAAAACAGGTCATCTAGAAAGGCTAAAAGAAAAAAAATTGAGAGAGAGAGAGAGAGAGAGAGAGAGAGAGAGAGCAAGAGAAAAATCAGGGTCAATGGGTAAGATCTGCAGTTCCATCAGGAGGTATTTCTCAGCTACAGAGAGAAATACCTAGTCTGAGGCTAGCCTGCCTGAGCTCCAGGTGTGACTCAGTTGGGGTAACTCTTGCCCACCATGCAGAAACCTGTGTTTGGTTTCCAGAACCAAACAAACCAGGCTTGGTGTGGAATTCCTGTAATCTCTACATTTGTACACGGAGGCAGAAGAATTAAAAGACCAAGGATATCCAACCCTACATAGATGATTTAAAAAGTAAAACTTCTAAAATACACTGAGACAAGTTACATACCTATACCACCTACACTCAGTTGGCTGAGGGCAGGAGGATCGACAGTCCTTGGCAGCCGGGACTACATACAGTAAACCGGAGTCCAAACAAGAGGAGAGAAAAAGAAAGGATTCTTCATTAGAAGGAAACAATAGATATGCCACTGTGGGGTTTAAGAGTCATATGCTTTCGCAAAGAAAATAGACGACCATGAGTACAAGGTACAGACAGTCAGCAGTGAAGGGGAACAGACAAGGACAGGGTTGAAGAACTCTACAAAAGGCAAGTGAGTCTTCCTCCCACCTCTGTTGACGATGCCAGCAAGGTGGCTTCTCCAGCTTGAGGGCTGCCGGTAAGGACCCGGCATCGGCACCTCTTGCCATCCAGTTTGCCCTTAACAGTCTTTGAGCCAGAGAGAGGCACACCCCACCCATTGAGGCTGAGGAAAGAAAGGGAGAAGGCAGAGGCTGGCTAGATCCTTTGCAAAGCGGGAGGCCGGGGCTAGAAGAAGCAGCTTTTCTAGGCTAGGGTGCTAAAACCCTGAGTTTTGTCTCAACTAACTTCTGTTGTGTGGGGCTTGTGTGAGGCCTAGAACTCCTGATCAGCCTGCATCACCTCCCAGGTACTGCAAACAGACACGTGCCACCGTTCCTGGCTTGCTTGCTTCGTTTTTTAATATTTGCTTTTCAAAACAGGGTTTCTCTGTGTAGCCCTGTCTGTCCTGGAACTCACTCTGTAGACCAGGCTGGCAGGGAACTCGGAGATCCACCAGCCTTTGCCTCCCATGTGCTGCACCATCACGACCTGGCTTTACCCGGCTCCTGGCTGTTTCTTGAGACAGACCCTTTGTGTGTGATGCTAGCTTGGTATTCCCTATCTCATGCTGGCCGCGAAGCCTACCATTTTCCTGCCTCAGTCTCCTGAGTGCTGACATTAAATCTAATCCCCATCAAAATGGTTAAGTAATGTTTAAGGCAGGCGGGCAAGGGACGAGGCTCAGATATGGAGTTTGTGCCTAGTATGAATGGGCCCTGGATTTCATCACCAGCATTGTATAAAATTGGGCTCGGTAGCTGCCCTTGGGAGGTAGAAGCAGAAAGATCCGAGTTTAACTACTGCATAGGATGTTAAGATTCTCCAAAACAAAGCCAGGCAGTGGTGGCTGTGCTCGCCTTTAATCCTAGCACTCGGGAGGCAGGTGATTTGAGGGCCAGCCTGGTCTAAAAGAGCTAGTTCCAGGACAGCAGGACAGACTCCAAAGCTACAGAGAATCATGTCTTGAAAAACAAACAAACAAACAAACTAAAAATGATTCTAAAAAACAAAAGAACATGTGACACCCACTTGTAGTTCCAGACTCAAGAAACTGAGGCCAGACGATGCTGGGACGTAAGAAACCAGCCTGGGCTAGACAGAACATGGCTGATTGTCCGGGTTATCAGAAAGGCTGTCTACAGTTCTAGGTTCACAGTGTGGGGTGGGTTCAGTTTCCAGTGTGTGTGTGTGTTTGGGGGATTCTCCTAGCGGGCAGGGTGGGAGTGACGACTCACCACTGTGGGGTAAAGTCTGGAGGGGCTCGAATAAGCCACAATTCTGTATCTTGTAACCGCAGCGCTCCAAGGAGAAATGAGGGGGATCCGAGTCGGAGATTTCGCCATAAAATTTGGTGGGGAGGCAGGAGAATAGAGTGGCACCAGAGGGCGGGATATCCGCCACCACAACGACCTGCGCTGAATGCTGGGACACATTCTTGAATATAGAAGATACCCAGGATGGTTCTAATGAGGAAGACAGCTGGAGAGATGGACCACCACACCAGTCGCACAGTCTTCTCTGGGTCTCTTGCTGTCACAGGTTGACAGGTCTAGGCAGAAAGAACACGAGATGAGATTTTACCATTGTGACTGTGGCATGGACGAGGCAGCTTCCGGGAAGCACACCCCACCCACCTCCAAAGAAGTGGAAAAGCCTGCTCACCTTTAAAAGGCTGAGAAAAACAGAAGCCTTCTTAAAGAATTTCACTGGCCAGTTGCAGACTCAGGCAGACTCAGGCAAGCTGGAGGCAGGAGGCACAGCAGGTTGCTGACCCCTCATTAGGTTTTCAGGTTTCACTCCAATCTGACACCTACCAGTCCCTCAGGGTGTGGCACATGGTGGTAAGTGCAGGAGCTAGTTGTCACTGATGAGAATGGTGGCCTTGAAGGAGCAAGCAGGCAGAGGCAGGAGGTGAGTAGCTGGAAGGCAGAATTGGTGGAGAGGGGGGACTCTGCTGCCCTGGGGTCACTCACTCCCCAGCTCAGATTTTCCCAAGCTTTGGGTCTGAGGACTCAAGCAATGGAACCTGCTGGGATGACTTGTGGGGATTCCTGCTAAAGGTTCTTGCAGGAGCCTGCCCTCTAGAGGAGCCCTCTACAGGGCTGCTTGCAGGACACATTCTCAACCTGGCAACCCAACTTAGGGCAGGCTGACTAGGAATACTCTCCTTGGGGGAGGGAAGGCTCACCCTATGGAGAAGACCATGTTCTCTGCAGAGAAAAGGGGCAAAGGACAGTCACTACCCAGAGCACCTCTTCTGATGTTTCCGCAGGCATGGGGAGAGGGCAAGGCGCTATTGTTCCACAAGACAGCCTAGGGCACCTTTGCACTTCAGTCCTCCACACTGAGCTAGACCCTGTGGGAAGCCTACCCTTCCTGCCTGGGATTTTACCTGGAGAGATAGATGTACTCTGGAGTAGACAGCTCTTCCTCTGCGGGAGGTGCCTGTGGCCAGACAGTGTCCTGGGCATCTGGCATGGGTCCCCAGAGGGGCTGTCTGAATCTCATCCAGACCGATCCCCAACTCGTGGCTCAGAAGCCACTGAGCTGGGGCTTGACCTCTTCGGGGCTTCAAAGAGAAAGGCACAGGAAGGAGACTCTTAGTGACTTCAAAACACACAAGACTTAGTGCACTGCCCTGCAGTACCCAAGTACCTGACTGGTCCTCCAAGGAATCTTTGCCTCCTTTGGCCTTGCCCCACCTCTCCCTGCTTCACTCAGCATCTCTGCTGTCCCCCTGTTGCTCAACAAGCCTGAGGTCACACTGCAGGGGACACCTGGTCTTTCTGAAGTGACAGATTGTTATGCTCACAGTGTGCCACGAGTGGACACAGGCATCATTTATCACAAAGGACAGGAGGAAAAGTACAAATCAGATGAAGTGAGAAAGGTGCTCACCTGGGTCTGTGGGTGCCTCTAGGATCCCCTGACTGTGGAGCCTGGTTCTCATGGGAGGCATGGTTACTCTCTGCAGGAGGCAGGCAGCAACATAGGTGTCGGAAGCCATTGACAATGGTTTTCTTGACCCTCTTCCAGCGTTGATGCCTCTGGTTTTGGGAGGAAGCTGGCCCGGCATCCTGGCGCTGACCATGGCTGATGGCCTCTTCCTGTCTGGTGGTCACTTCTTCCTGCAGTGTGTCTCCAAGGGAGGAGCCTTTGGGGGTTACATGCAGAGCCATCCCCAGTGAGCTCCAGCCTTTCTTTGCATCATTTGCTGCCTCATTGTTGTCTGCCCCATGAGGGTGGTACAGAGAGCAAAATGGCTGGGCACTCGCCGTCAGGCTGCCACACAACCTGATCATCGATGGAGAGAAACTCTTGCTGCTGTCCAGGCTGCTGCTCATGAGGGAATCAGCCACAGGACAGC